ATTCTAGGGATCGAGATTCACCGAGATAGAAGTAAAGGGGTAGACTGTCACAAAAGACATACATAGAAAAGATCTTAAAGAAATTCAGTATGCACAAATATAGTCCGTCACCTGCTCCTATAGTCAAGGGCGACAGATATGCGGATTTTCAATGCCCTAGAAACCAATATGAGATCGATCAAATGAAAGCGGTTCCATATGCTTCAGCTGTCGGAAGCTTGCAATATGCTCAAGTATGTATGCGCCCTGACTTGGCATTTGTTACCGGGTTACTTGGCAGATTCCAGAGCAATCCTGAAACAGAATACTGGAAAATGGTAAAGAAAGTCTTACGTTATTTGCAAGGAACGAAAAGCCTTATGATGATGTATAGAAGATCAGATTCCCTCCATATAGTGGGATATTCTGATTCTGATTATGCGGGAGATGATAGAAAATCCACGTCTGGATATGTATTTACTCTTGCAAGGGGAGCTATTTCATGGAAAAGTTCAAAGCAAACCGTCACTACATCGTCCACAATGTATGCCGACTTTGCAGCGTGTTATGAGGCAACGGGGCAGGTGAACTAGCTAAAGAAGTTCATACCCAGTTTGAAGGTGGTTGACGACATCTATAGACCACTTAAGTTATACTGCGATAATAATCCGGCAGTACAGTATGCTCACAACAATAAGTCAAGTGGTGCTGCCAAACACATTGACATAAAGTATTATGTTGTGAAAGATAAAGTTCGGGATCATGTCATAAGTCTTGAGCATATAAGTACAGAAAAGATGCTCGCGGATTCGCTTACAAAAAGACTTACCACCCAACGTGTTTAGAGAACATGTAGCTAGCATGGATTTAAGGGAAAGCCTATAATTCCTGGACAAAAGAAGGCCCAAAGTTAAGTATCTATTTCAGAACAGAGTGGTGTGTTGTAACTGTTAAATCTATCGGCAATTGACCGTGACGATAAAACATGCTCTATGCGCTAATTTGTAATGAAATGAACAAAAGTAAATGATATGAAATTGAAAGATGGTAGTGAGATCAAGAGGGAGAATGTTAGTTGATCTCCACCAATAGGCTCAGGGCCCTTAGATCTGCGCCCTGATCGGGAACGCCCAACCCTAATATGGTTGGTGGGGCCCCTGTCGCACAGCACTATAAAAGATAGGTGGGGATCACGGCTCTAACTATGAGGTTGACCTAAGCCGCAGTAACCACCTACAGAGAAACACTAATCCGATCTAAAGAAGAGTGCTGCCAGCGACGGGAAGCCCCACCGACTCCGCCGTCGCCTCTGCATCGTCTCCACCACGCTGGACTCCACCGCGCCGAGCTCCCGCGACACCGGCTTCCACGAGGCTACTGCGCAACTGCGTCAGAACGAACTAGAGGAACCCTAAGTAAGATGCTTATCCCGATCTACAGTTTAGATGCACTGTTGTTTCTGACAAAGGTCTGTTACTTCGGTAATAACACCGATAACATCTGTCGAAGGAAATAAGTGTGTCATTTGTATGCAAAATCTTCTAAGTTGATTGAGCTTTCTAAAGGCAGAAAGCAAGCAAGATATAGAAAGGTATGAATCCACTTACCTATAAAATGTTTTATCTGAACCTCCATGTAAACGGGACCAGACTGTAGACATACTTTGGGAAGGTAGCAGGTTGATTTCTTGCATGTTCAATCTTAGTGTAGCATGTGAATTCAATCATGCAAGGGTTTCACAGACCATGGTAATATGATTTAGCTTTTGGTACTTTAATTTAAAGCGTTTCATAACATAGATATTGTCTGCTTGTATGTGTGGACTGTGGGTCTAGAATCCCAATCTCAGACTTAGGAAGTTCAGCGTAGATTGCATTTCCCTATACGATATAGGAATAGTCCAGGAAATATTGCCGGCGCTCGGCCGCGCGACTCCGACAGGACCGCTTCCCCGCGCCATCACCAACCCACGGAGCCACTCGCGGAGCGGACTCGCCTGCGCCACCCGCTGGCCGCTGCCAGCCCGCCAAGCCCACTCACCTGCGCCGCTCGCCCGCGCTGCCCCCCCCGCGAGGCCGCTTGCTCGTGCCGCCGCCAGCAGCTCGCTGGATTCGCCGTCCACACCTGTGCACCGCACGAGACGGCGCCTCGCGCCGTTCAGGAGCGACGACTCCATCCCGTGGTTTTGGACTTTGGGGCGGGCTGGCCCCGCATATGAGGCGAATATTCGGATGCAGGACGGTCCATCCCATCTCCGTCCGCCCCCTCCTCGTCCAAACAGATGCTCCCATGTCAATGCCAGACCATTCGAAACGTTCTGATGATCGCACTCGCACCCGCCCCTATTTTGACGGCTAGCTTGCTATTACCGAGAAGGGCATTTCTGTCAACGTGCCGCCACGGTTATCAGGGAGCTTGCCCCGGTAATGGCGGTGGCTCGTTCCCTCCCCTAGGCCCCGTCCTCGGTCCTCCGCAGCCGCATCACGCCGCGCGACCGGCCTCCCCTGCTGCGGCGTTTGGGAACGAAACGGAAACCGCCGTCCACGTTTGCTACATTAATTCCTTGGCCTTCTGCAGAGGTACGTGCCGATTTCTCTTCCAAACAATGAAAGTCGATTACGTTACATGCCATTGCTGTCATGGCGTGGGATGGGGGAAACAATGATGCTACTGCGCCGTGTTCTAACCAGAATCTATATTTCCTACATTGTTGAAATGGCCAGCAAAATGATTGATACAAGTTTCTACTCTTAATTTTTTTTTTGTTCTCCAAACGGTGCTGGATTCTTGCATCCTATTGGGTCAAGTTGTTGAGCATTCGCCGCCCTGGCCTCAATGCTTGTTTTGTTTGCTCCTTCCATGTTTTTTTTTGTCTTCATGCGTGACTTTTCATAATCAAACGAACTCATTTGTATGATTCTCCTAATCGACCATTATCTCTTTAACCATCAATTGAAATGCTGAAGTGCAATTTACCTTCCATGTTTTCGAGAACATGTGCATTTCATAAAGAAGAAAGAGAAAACTTAATACAAGTGACCGAAAGAGTGATTGAAGAAGAAACTATTGTAGGGTGGGAGAGGATGAAAATGTGCCGTTGCTCATCCACTTTAGTAAAATGTCACTCTCAATTGGCGGAGCTGAAAGTGTTGTAAGCGCGTCTAGCTGAAAGTTGTTGTAAGTGCTTGGTTTGTGGAAGCACCTCATCTTTGGATGAGATGGTGCATCATAAGTTTATTCCCATAAATTTGTTTTAATGAATCACATTCTTTGCGCTTGTACTAATTATTAGCTTGTGAAGGATGAGGTGGTGATGGACCAACTCATTCCATTCCGCGAACCAAATCAAAAAAAATTAGGGAGTGAGAAGATGATCAACCACCCCGTTTCCTTAAACCAAACATGCTATTTGTTTTTGAAGTTTGTCTATAGGTGGCAACAATATGTTAATCTTAAAAATAATCAAACTTTGATGGGTTTAGTTTGTATCATACTACTATCTAATCAGCATATTTCCTCCAAGTATGCATGCCCACTGAGGCACTGATCGCAAGCATCCATCAGGGTGGCACCATCTTCCTTTTCTTGGGTTATGTCATTGACGCAATTACTGATCTTTTATTTCCATGAGCAGAGTACAGGGGTCCGGATATCCTGACGAATTACCTTGAGCCGATGGGGTGCTGTGGAAGCGTAAATCATCTCCTCTAGCTCCATTACAATTTTGTTTTGCTCGCCGTGTCATGCATTGCCATTCTGTTTCGTTTGATCCTCTTGCGTATACATACTTGATACATTGTTTTGCTAAAAACAATATAATAATCATGCTATAGATTAGCCATTTGCAGCACTAGGCAGTAGGCAGTAGCCAGTAGCCAGTAGGTTTCTGATCATAAATTTTCTGTTTGCAGAGTGCCGTAGATGATGAGGAACATCTGGACTACAGCTCTGGAAAAGTGACTATCATACCCGATCTAAAGTGTTGGGAACAGAAATTGGAGGAAGCGAATGAACTTGGGCAAACAGTAAGTACCCAAGATGAGTAGTAATAACAAACGCTGTGAATCAGGGCATAAGGAGTTTGCTCGGATAGCTATGAGCTGTTTGCAGGCGCATTTGGCTGTCCGTTACATGATTCCTTCAGCTGTTTCATCAGGTTAACCATGTATGTTGACATGTCCATGTGTACAGGTTGTGGTAAAATTCAGTGCAACTTGGTGTGGACCATGCAGGAATGCTGCTCCAGTATACGCGGAGCTTTCTTTGAAGCATTCTAATCTTGTTTTCGTCTCCATTGACGTAGACGAACTGCCGGTACATCCATATTCAAAATTCCAGCCACTGATTTCATTCTTCATTTTTTTTACTTTGTGCATAGAACAAAAAGAAGATCTGAAGTTAATACCACCTTCCAATGGTTCTCCAGGAATTGGTCACGCAATTCGATGTACGTGCAACTCCAACGTTCATCTTCATGAGAGACAAGAAGGAGATTGACAAGCTGGTTGGGGGCAACCAGGAAGATCTCCAGAAGAAGTTCGATCCATACTGCCAGTGCCAGTAGAGGTGATCCATGGCCAATTTGTCTGTCAGTATAGGATCAGAACGAGCACGCCCAAACATCTGATTGGCTGAAAACCGCAACAGATCAGAATTTTGCAGCCAGTTGATGAACTCTCTCTGGGAGTGTCTGCATCTGCATAGGTTCGAGGAACTGATCAAAGGAAGTAGGATTTCTGTCTAGAATAATGTAAGGTTAGCTAGTGTCTGAAACTCTGCACCACATTGTTCAAACAATCCCATATACAGAACAAGAAGTTGTAACATCAGTTACCAGATGACTCCCTCTTGATGCCTCCCACGATTGGTTTTACAGGAAAAATGCCAGTGCCATTGCTGTCCACTGGTATGCCAAAGATTCAACAATGCGCAATGTACACCGATGATGAATCGATCGGAGGATCCAATGTGCATAACTGTATATATCCTGTAGGTACCCATCCATGAGCCATGGATGGATTCTATTTGCTGAGCGAGAACTTGGACAGTACCGCCGCGGCCTGGTCGCCACCCAGGAGAAAATATGGGTGCCGCAATGCGGCCGCGGCAGAGAGGCGGCCCCCGCCGTTGGGGCCCCTCTCCGAGATGAGCTTGGTGGCGAGGTCCCAGCCTCGGCCAGAGTCGAGGTCCAGGATCTGCAGGTCGGGTCTCCGCCGCGCGCTCTGCCGCCACCTGTTGAGGTCGTAGCCGGCGGACCTGAGCTCGGCGTTGAAGTTCTTGAGCCCGGACTGTGTCCGCAGCGTCGGTATGGCCATCTGCATCAGCACTATCCCCGCCGAGTACATGTCGAACAGGTCCGGGCTGTTCAGCTGCAAGAAACGCGGAGATGGCTGCTGCTGTCAGTGGCTGGTCACAGACAGCGGCAACGCTAAGTCTGGACGCGAGGAGAAGTGTCTGTCACCTGCCAGAGGATCGGGGAGAGGATGGCGGCGATGGGCTCCGGCGGGGGCTCGGGCGTCTCCTCGGGGAGCACGTAGAGCTCCGGCGGGCAGTAGTCCGGGTCGAGCAGGGCGCGGTCGGGCACGTAGTTCTTGCCGATGCGGAGGTCGGTAGCGGCTCCGAAGTCGATGAGCTTCACCTGCCCGCGGCGGGTGACGACGAGGTTGGACGGCTTGATGTCGCGGTGCACGATGCCCGTGGCGTGGATGCGCTTCAGCGACGTGATCAGCTGCCGCATCACCTGCTTTACCACCAGCGCGTCGCGCTCCAGCGTGCCGAGACCCTGCAGCACGCGCCCGAACATGAGCCGCTCCAGGTTGGACGGGAACCCGCGGTCACTCATGTAATTGGCCAACGTTCTGTTGCCCTGTAATGACAATAAAAGTATTAGATAAATTCAAACACATATGGCCTATTAGCTCAGTTGGTTAGAGCGTCGTGCTAATAACGCGAAGGTCGCAGGTTCGAGACCTGCATGGGCCAGTTTAACTTTTGTTTTGAAACTTTTTAAAAAAATTCATGCTGTTGGTTTTGTCTTTTCGTTTTTTTTTTGAAATTCACCCAATTGAGTTCATTGATCCTATGGGGATCGGATCCTGAACTCGTAATACGAAGTTGGGATCTTTTTTGGGCAAAAACAGTTAAGCTCATCAAAATGTCAAAACACCAAATGCAAATACCTCAAACTTCCAGACGAGCCACTTGCCGCCTTTGACGAACTCTGCCTTGTTCTTGTCGGCGATGAAGCTCCCGAGGAAGTCGGCGCACGACTCCGGCGCCGCCCTAGCCACGCGGTAGTTGAACCACTCTTCATAGTCCCCACACTCCTTCGCCCCCACCGTCAACATCTTGATCTGAACATGATCGAACCACACACACATCGATTAGTTTCAATGAGAATGAAGATATTTTTAGATGAGATTTGTACAAGAATGGTGTTTTCACAGTTCACTGATTCAGGACAACACTCTGCCAATGGAGTGTGATCTATGGAGACTAAGAGTTTCTCTTAAGATTAAGGTTTTCCTTTATTTACAAAAAAGGGTTATCCTAACAAAAGATAATTTAGTTAAAAGACGTTGACAAGGTAGCCCCAAATGTTGTTTTTGCAATACTGATGAAACCATACAACACTTGTTTTTTGTTGTTGCCATATGGTGGCTAGGTTCATTTGGAATATCATTTTCATCACTTTTGGCATTCAACCACCTTCTGGTGTATCCAATATGTTGGTACTTGGCTCAATGGGTTTTCTTCCAAGCCTAAAAATCCAAATTTTAGTTGGTGCGACTGCTCTATGCTGGGCTATTTGGTTGAGTAGAAATGACGTGAGTTTTAATAGAACTACAACTAATTCTTTCATGCAAGTTATTTTCAGGAAACATGTTGGATAAGAAGTTGGTCGCTGCTTTTTGAAGAAGAGGAGAGAGATGTTTTGAAGATGAGATGTACAAAGTTGCAAGTCTCTGTTATGGAGATTTTTAGTTGCTTTAGCTTTAGCTTTCTTTCCCATGTAGCTCTTCTGAATTTTTCTTTCTATAGCCGGAAGGCTACAGATTCTGAAATATGCATAAATGTAGAGGCCATATTATTTTCCTTCATCTAAAAACACATCGATCAGCGTCGCTATTTCACTCGGCACCACATCACAGCAATTTCGCAACTGGGCTTCACGCAGCTTACGTACCTTCTTGAGTATGACCTTCTCCTTGTACCTGTCGTCGTTCTGGAGGCTCGTCCTGGCCCTGCCGGACCGCTCCTCCACGACAGCGCCGTTCTTCGGCACCACGGCGCCGGCGTACACCACCCCGAAGGATCCCTCCCCGATGCGCTCGCCGACGACGAAGTCGCTCATCTTGAGGCTCCGCCGGCCCAGCACGCTGTCCAGCGCCAGCTGCAGCGGCGCCAGCACGTACGTGTCCACGGCGCCGCTCAGCACCCCGGGCCGGGCCGTCAGGTACAGCCACGTCGCGGCCAGGAACCCGAACAGTGCCCACCGCTGCGCGTCCGACAGCCCCGACGTGAGCGCGTCCAGGCGAGACAGCGCGCCGCTCGCCGCGCGCGCCACCGGGTTGGACGCGTCCAGGTGCAGCAGCGCGCTCAGGAGACCGTCGGCGATGGCGGCCGCGCCAGCGTCGCTGCTGGCCGCCACGCTGGACGCGTCCACGCCCAGGAGCTCGTTCACCGCCCCGGCGGCGGCATTAGTCGCGTCTCCCACCGCCGGTCCGGTGGTGGAGGGTTCCAGTGGCAGCGCGGTGACGAGGTCGTTCGGTGTGACACCCGCGCCGGCGTTGCTGGTCACCGTGTCGGACGGGTCCGCCTGCTGCAGCGACCTCTTGAGCTCGTTCACTAAGGACGCCCAGCCATCGTCCGCACCATCGCTGCTGGTGGCGCCGCACCTGAAGATCAGCCTCTGGGCGTGTGGCTTGACGCCGAACGGGTGGAGGAGAGTTGGGTACTTCTTGACGAGGGTGGCTGCGGGGGGCAGGAGGGAGGCGGCCATGGCGACGAAGGCGCTCTCATCCCATGGGGGAGTCGAAGGCAGCCGAGCACGCGGGAGAGGGAGAGGACCAGAGGGGACAGGGGAGGCAGTGAGACACACAGGAGGGCGCGCGTGTGGAGTTGGGAGCAGAGGCTGCGAGGTGTGCTACGTGGCAGGCAGCAGCTTGTATCGTTTGTTATCCAAATGAATGATGGGCCGACGAAACGAATAGTGTATATATTGGGCCTTGGGATAAAGGATACTGGGCCTGATAGCACGTCGTTCATCTGTTCCATCCTCAGTCTCGGAGCAGAGAGCAAGCAAAATTCCCCCAACAAAAATTACAAAGGGCGAAAACCTAGCAAGAGCCAAGAGGACTTCCCCCTTCATCTCCTCCTGTGGTCCGCCACCACTGCCTCTGCTTCGTTCTCCCCAGGCTGCAGGCGGCGAGGTGAGGTGGTCACCTGCGAGCGCTGAGGCCTCCATATTGAAACATACCCATCCATCCCCCAACTTTATATCTCGTCCCACAGCGCCGACGCCCGCCGCCTGTTCGATAGAATGTCTCCATGGAGAAGAGGGAAAAGGGGCAGGAAAGCGCCAATTGAGAGCAGTGACAGCAGCATAGAGTCCTTGCCAGACGGTGTCCTTCAACACATCCTCGGTTTCCTTCCCGCGCGGGACGCCGTGCGGTCGTGCGTGCTCGCCCGGCGCTGGCTGGACCTCTGGATGTTCGCGACGGGCCTGCGCATCACTAGCAATGGATACGAGGACGACATGGAGAAGCTCCGGGAGTTCGTGGACCATCTCCTCCTCCTCCGCGGAATCGCACCTCTAGAAACATGCGAGCTCAGGTTCACAGATTATGTTATGGTCGATATATTCTCTGCAGGCTGTCCTCTTCGTGTGAACCTCTGGTTTCGGCATGCTGTACGGTGCCAGGCTCGAGTCCTCCGGTTGGTAATGCCATCTGGAAATTGGTTTGGTCTAAATTACATGCATCTCGTCTCCAGGCACTTAATGCAGCTAGAGCTTTCTGGTGTAGCATTTGAGGAAAATTTCCTTATCTTATCTGACTGTCCAGCACTGGAACAACTAGAGATTGAGAACTGTGATTTGACTGATGTCAACAAGATCTCATCTGAATCCCTCAAACGCCTAAGTCTCACTAATTGTGCATTCAGTGAAAGCTTCCGCACACGTATTCATGCTCCCTCTCTGGTTTCGCTGCTGCTAGATGACATTTGGTCTAAGACTCCAGTGCTTGAGAGCATGCCATCATTAGTGGATGCATCTATCAGAATTGGCGAGAACAATGTAGACAGCTGTGATAATTGTGACTCAGGGGATTGTAGCAGCTGTCATGGTATCATACACAGTAACAGCAACTCCATTCTTTTGGAAGGTTTATCAAAAACAACTAACTTAGCATTGATGGCTGAATCCGACACGGTATGTGAGACTTTTGTCTTGAACTCATTCTTAAATCATAATTAGCCCACATTAATAAATGCGCTTAGACAGTTTTTTCTTATGCATCACTACTATTTGTAGTTTTTCAATTAAAACAACTGCATTCACATTGATAATTGCTTAGATAAATGGAATTACCAATTAATTAGCCTTTTGTGTTTGCATTTCATTCAGTTTATTTTCAGGATGGATTTGAAACGGTGTCCTACATTTAGCAAATTGAAGACACTGTTACTCAGTGACTATTGGTGTGTAGCTCTTGATTTGGACGCCATAACTTGCATTCTCAAGAACTCGCCACTTCTAGAGAAGCTCACTATTGAACATTTTTTAAAGGTATGCATTTTTTAATTGACAATTGTTGCTTTTTTAGTTATTATACATCATTGGTTGATCCTAGTGAAATGATTGTTTACTACAGGGATCTCAGCTTAAAATGGAAATGAAAGGAAGCTACATTCCAGCACAGAAAACAGATGCAATCTCAGAACACCTTAAGATAGTAGTGGTGAAATGTGATGTGGTTGACAATAAAGTTTACAGAGTTTTGAAGCTCCTGTCTACATTCAACATTCGTAAGCTAACTAGCAACTCTATTAAGTTTCTTCGTATTCCTAAAGTTTTGGCTCCACGTTCATAAGCTTGAAAGAAAGAAAGCACAAATAATTCAATTGATTAGTTACCCTAATTATGAACATAAGTTAGCTTGCTGATTAGTTCTGAACAGTAGCACAAATTTCTGTATTTTGCAATATGATTTCTTATTGTCCCCCTTGCCTCACCTTGTTCTTTGGAGGCTTAGTGTGCATGGCCAGTTACCTGCTTGTATGGCCTGAGGTATCCATTACCAGTTCTTATATTCATATATAGTAGCTAATATCCATTGCAATGGTTCTACATATCACTGTTTTTTTTTTTTTTTTGGGGGATTTCGAATAGCATTCTCAAGAACTGAATCCGTTAATGCCACTCATTCTCTCTATGATATATGGGCCTGGGCCCTAACATATGCGTGTTACTTCATGGATCACCAACCTTTGTGTGCGTCATTTGATTATGCATTTAGTCACTCCCTTAAGTTATATATTTAGTCATATACATTAACATGGTATCTCTACAAACTTTTAGTGTCTATCATAATTTATTTTCATTTTTCATGTTTGGTACCTGCTCTTTTCACAGCTTTAAAGGTTTACAACATGTACTTTGACAAGTTAAACAATTTGACTTAAACTTCTATTCTTTGTCCTTGTCCATATCTCGAAAGGCTGCCATCATTACCATCTCCATGTCCATTTTAATGTCCCCCCCTTTGCCTGCTTGTTGGCTCTCATATGATTGAAAACCTTGACTGTTGTCTTAAGACTTCAAGCTCTTACGCAATTAGAAAACTTTGGTGGTCAACATAGCCAGATGCTTGGATATCATAGTGAAAAAAAAGCTACATATCAAACAATCATTGGAAGACATTGTTCGATCACCTTTTCATGTTAATAGCTTCATATAGCATATCAGGACATTGGAGTTGTTACTTGTTAGGTTACGATGCATGCTATTCAAATTCAAGTGAATTTTCCTATGTGCTGAAGTCTGTTCTGGCGTATTATTATATTTTAGTTCCTTTTGTCAAGTAAATTGAGACGATCTGCTTTGAATTTTCTGTAGCCAACTTAGTTATTTTGGACCTTTCTGTTTTTCGCAGGTTTCAGTTTCGAGTAGGGCGGGGGAAACAAGTGGTGCCACTGGATCTACTATTCCTCTCTCGATTACTTGGGAATGTATTGGCTCGAAATATGGTTTGGCCATGTTACCTCATCATTGAGTTCCAGGCAAAGATACTCCTGTAGTCCTGTCTAGAATTGGCAACATATAACTTGTTTAGAACGTCAGAACCACTAGTCTGACTTAAAACTTTAGATCATCATTGTCGTCGGAGGCTGGAAACTGGTTTATCATGTCGCAGTATTTCTTTACATCTTTTGGTACCTGCTGATGTGGTCAGCAATGTGGACCCTTTAACGTGCCTCCAGTGTACGACAGGCTCATCAGCGAAGTACTGCTACTGTGGCCGAGCCTGTACGTTGTGATTTCAGCTACGGTACGTTTACCGCGCAATAACAATCACTGTTGTACGTATTTTCAACCCCTCGGATCATGGGAGACGCATGTGATGGTGGACACGGACAAGCTTGTGCTTGCATGCACGGCTGCACGCGCCGTGTGAAACTCTGAACCCTTGGTGCTTGCGATTGCGAGCACTAGTAGCGCGTGCTCGACTGGATCCGATCCGTGCTGCAAAACCCCATTCCAGTTCCAGGAACGGAAAACGGGCAGAGGTCAGATCGTGCGTCTGAAAATGGCGACGGCTTGCTCGCACCGCACGCACTCGCTCCTCCCGACCTCCCGTCAAAGCCACGGCAAAAGTAAAAGGCGCGAAAACATCACCATCCCAGTTGCCCGAACAAGGCTAGGGCCCGAGCCGTGAGCAGTGCCTTTGCCACACCCATTTCGAGCTCCCATCATTCCGCGCGTCGCGGTCGCGTAGGCCTGGCCTCATCGCGTCCGGGTCTCCGGGCTAGGCCAGGTGCAAGACGAGGCGAAGCCGACACGTCCGCGTACGCGCTCTGCCCGATCGTCTTGCTAGAGCTCTCCCACTTCCCCTCCCTCCCACGCCAGCTCGAAAAACCCCAAAGCCACCGACCACCGTCACCGGGCGGCGCAAAAGGGTCAGCTCGCCTCGCGCCCAGGCACCCAGCCATGGCGCTCCCCGCGGCAACGGTACCATTCGTCGTGCTCCTCCTCCTCCTCGTCCCGACGGGCGGATCCGGTACCGGCGGCTCCGACCAGGGAGGAGGAGGCGGCTGCTTTGCTCCGCTGATCGGCTGCGCCCCGCCGGCGTCCGCCACGGGCAACGCCACCGCGTTCCGCGCCAGCCTCGCCCCGCTGCTCGCCGCGCTCCCCTCCGCCGCGGCGGCGGCAGCCGAGGGGTTCGCCGCGCTGCGCTCCCAGCCGGACCCCGGGCGCGACCGCGCGCACGCCCTCGGCCTCTGCTTCGGGTTCGGGTTCGGGTTCGGCGGCGTCGCCGACGCGTCGGACTGCCACGCGTGCCTCCGGGCCGCCGTCGCGGCAGCCAGCGAGGGCTGCGCCAACGACACCCGCCGCGCGGGCGTATGGAGCCACGGCTGCCTCCTGGCGTACTACGCCGGCGACGTCGCTTCCTCGTACACCGACGGCTTGGAGCAGACGCTCGCCGACCTGACCATGGCCCTTGCTCAGCCCAAGGGGCCATCGCTCTGTGAGTCATCTCTACTACTACCTCGTTCGGTACATAATGTCACGAGCGTACTGCGATTTCGACACTAGAACTCCTGACTCCTGAGGAGTGAGAACGCATCATCAGTGCCTGCTCTGATTGATTTTATAAGGTAGCTGACATCTTCAACTGAAAACTGAAATGCCCGCACTGCAGGGAGGAAGGCACAATCCATCATGTCGTTCGTTCTGGCAGCCATTGGAGCGGTCACAGTCGTGGTCCTCGCGTGCTTTCTCGTGGGCTGCTACCTGCTGGCAGAGACCCTCTTCGGGAACATGGCGGAAGCAGGTACCTCCTCCGTCTCTGCGCAATTTCTTTCTTGCACGCGGTGATCGGAAGCAGCAAACGCGGCGATCGGATCTGACTAACAATTTATCTATCGTGCACTCGTTGGTTACTTGGTTGATGCAACGCAGGTCCGCAGGGCGATGGGTTCGCTCTGTATATTGCTGCAACAAATGGCCAAGCACAGGTCTGGTCGCTGGCGACGCAGTTCTGATTCCACTAGCTGGGCTGTGCGAGAGATCAGATCACCGCGAGCTGCCTGCCGCCTGCGTGTGGGACTCTGATCCTGGGCGGGTCTTCCGAGTGCTGAGTAGAGAGTACTGACGCTTCCACTGGGCTCTATCTGAGTCTGATGATGAACAATTTAGTTCTGTCCCATGTTCTAGTTAGGTCTTTGTTGATGCTGCTATGGCTAGATGCTTATGGCTTATTAACTAGCTTAATTGAAGGTGGTTAATCGCTGGTAGTCATTTTTTTTTCTTGGGTCAAACCGGAGTGCGTTTTTGTCTTTTTTTTTTAACGTACCGGGGCTAGAGGTGGGACTTGGGCCGGCCCTCTCGTGCTATTTGCCGCTTCATGCAGTGCTCTCTAGACACGCGAGCCACATCTGGTATGACACGATAATTTTTTTCTTCGACCAAGCACGGCCCATGGCACACAGGCACGTCTTCGGGTCATGCTAGTCCAATCACCACCCTCAAGATATTTGTACTAATTTTATTTGTCCGCTCGTGATATATAAAAAATATATTTTGTGTGTACTATTTTCATAAAAATTCTAATGATTTTCATAATCTATTCAAGATTTTAGATGTAATTACATTGTAACATTGTAAATGTGCTTACGTGTTATTGTCGTATCGTGCCGACTCAAGCCCCACATATAGCCTAGGTTTGTCCATCGTGCCAAAATCCTAGATACGGCACCACCCTCGTGTTCGGGTCGTGCCGTGCCGTATTTTGGGTCATGCTAAAAGATGTCTTAGCCCACCCTCAAATGGCACAGCCAAGTCCAGCTATAACCGCCGGGGCTATCTGCTCAGCTTGTGAGTGCTAGCGTGGCTGTGGCCAGTCCCTTGTTGGTCTGCTCACTATATATTCAGCCTGTTCGCTTGTTGGTTTCAGCCAGCCCAAACCAGCCAATCAACAGTATTTTTCTCTCACAAAAAATCAGCACCAGCCAGCCCAAACCAGCACCCGCACCAACCAGCGAACAGGCCCAATATTGTTTTGCTAGCTACTCCATCATGCATGCATGCTAGTACAAACCTTGAATACAGAGAAGCCTTCGGACAGTTATACTATCTGGGCATCTGGCTCCAGTGAGAATAGAATAGGGGGTGGCAAGGCAATGAGGCAATCAAAGCTGGGAGCACTGGCCGCAAGGCCGTGGTTGTTACTCCTCTGCCTCGCGCTCTCGCGAGCTGCCACCGCCACTGAGACCGGTGGTTTCATCAGCATCGACTGCGGCCTCCCGGGGACGACGAGCTACGTGGACGACACCACCACGCTGTCGTACGCCCCGGACGCCGCGTTCACCGACGACGCCGGCGAGAACTACAACATCTCGGCTGCGCACGTCACGCCGGAGCTTGCGAGGATCTACCGCGACGTGCGCAGCTTCGTCGACGGCGCGCGTAACTGCTACACGCTCCGGTCCCTCGCGGTGGGGCTCAAGTACCTCCTCCGCGCCAGCTTCATGTACGGCAACTACGACGGCCTCAACCGGCCGCCCGTCTTCGACCTCTACATAGGCGTCAACCTGTGGAAGACGGTGAACGTGTCGGACCCGCCGGACGCCCGAGTCGTCGCGGAGGCCATCGTTGTCGTGCCGGACGACTTCGTCCAGGTTTGCCTGGTGAACACCGGCTCCGGGACGCCGTTCATCTCCGGGCTGGAGCTGAGGCCTCTCAAGAGCTCCATCTACCCGCAAGTGAACGTAACACAGGGACTGGTCCTGCTAGGCAGGCGCAACTTCGGCCCGACTGCTAGCAAGTCAACAAGTCAACCACGCGCCCGGGCCCAGTCCCCGTCTTGACTCGTTTGCCGTCTTGACTCGTTTGCGTGTGTTTCGTGACTTAGGGGGTGTGTCGTTGCCCCCTCATAAATTTTAGTCGTTGTTTCATCGAATGTTTGACATATACATAGAGTATTAAATATAGACTAATTATAAAATTAATTGCATAGTTTATGACTAATTTACGAGATGAATCTTTTAAGCCTAATTAGTTCATGATTTGACAATGTAGTGCTACAGTAAACATGTGCTAATGATGGATTAATTAGGGCTTAAAAAATTCGTCTCGTGGAGTACTGACGAATTATGTAATTTGTTTTTTTATTAGTATCCGAACATCACATGCGACATCCTCCCAACATACCTCCTAAATTTTAGTCGCCGGATGAAACACCACAGTCGTGTAATTTACGTCCACTGGCCGGACATGATGTGAGTGCTGGCGTGGCGGTGGCCAGTCCCTTGTTTATATTGTTTTGCTAGCTACTCCATCATGCATGCATGCATGTACATGTACAAAACTTGAATACAGAGAAGCCTACAGTTATACTATCTGGGCATCTGGCTCCAGTGAGAATAGAATAGGTGGTGGCAAGGCAATGAGGCAATCAAAGCTGGGAGCACTGGCGGCAAGGCCGTGGTTGTTACTCCTCTGCCTCGCGCTCGCGCGAGCTGCCACCGCCACTGAGACCGGTGGTTTCATCAGCATCGACTGCGGCTTCCCGGGGACGACGAGCTACGTGGACGACACCACCACGCTGTCGTACGCCCCGGACGCCGCGTTCACCGACGACGCCGGCGAGAACTACAACATCTCGGCTGCGCACGTCACGCCGGAGCTTGCGAGGATCTACCGCGACGTGCGCAGCTTCGTCGATGGCGCGCGTAACTGCTACACGCTCCGGTCCCTCGCGGTTGGGCTCAAGTACCTCCTCCGCGCCAGCTTCATGTACGGCAACTACGACGGCCTCAACCGGCCGCCCGTCTTCGACCTCTACATAGGCGTCAACCTGTGGAAGACGGTGAACGTGTCGGACCCGCCGGACGCCCGAGTCGTCGCGGAGGCCATCGTTGTCGTGCCGGACGACTTCGTCCAGGTTTGCCTGGTGAACACCGGCTCCGGGACGCCGTTCATCTCCGGGCTGGAGCTGAGGCCTCTCAAGAGCTCCATCTACCCGCAAGTGAACCTGACACAGGGACTGGTCCTGCTAGGCAGGCGCAACTTCGGCCCGACTGATAGTACAGACATTGTCAGGTGAGCATATTACACAACTTCGGTCACTTCTCCCGGAGATTTATATGCTAGAGTATTTATTATTAAGCAAGGGGCTTAATTCTTGCTACATCCTCTTCTTAAAGTATGTTGAGTTCCGAGGATAATAGGATTTTTTTTTCCGTGGTATGGAGTAGTTGTCATTAACCTCATAATCCATAGTGGAACACCTGCTAAGAATTGAGTCATCAAGGTTCTAGATCCACTAGAAGTATCATTCTATACTCCTGGGATTGGCGAGTTTCAAACCAAGCGTGAAGCTAGGCTTCCCAACAAAAACCCAATCAGGAAGGTCTCCTACACCGGACAGTCTAAGTACCGGCAAACACCAAGAGTATTAAATATTCGATCTTTACTTGTTCAAACTCCAAGCGAATAGCACAAAGATGCACACTAAGTTCACTCACAAACACTCCTCTTGACTTGAAATGTCCTCAAACCCTTCACTAAGCCTTTTAATATGTGTGTAACTGTCTGTGCACAAAGAGCTCAAACCAGCCAAAGAACACAGATAAACCGGATATATAGAGCTCCATGGTGAGATCCTAGACGCTGGAAAAAGCCTTGCTAAAAAATCACTATCAGATGATAATTGTGTCTCACTAAGGGACATCGAATCATCTGGGTGGCTCCGCTCTTCCAATTCTCCAAAAATCACTACCAAAGATGCTTGGATATTCTACACCAGATGATAAGTCGTCACCGTACTGAGGTACACTAACGGATCATAAGATGCACACTAAAGGGCTATTGGACCCACGAAAGTGCAATAGAATCATACTGTGCACTCTAGCGACGAGCATGTCCAAATTGATAAAGGCCTACACAGTATCACCGGATTATCCACCTGTCCACACAAGATCCATTGATGTATCATCCAGTGGATGACACTGACTAACACATAGTATTGCAGCAGAAGATCCTGTAGCCTGGATTAACCGATCCGATGACCTTCTACCCTGAAATCTGGCTCTGTTTAAAGTTCAATCTCATCTAATTCAACTTCTTTGAAATCCTTGATTTCTTTATCTATTGGAGCCACTCATGATTGAACTTCCTAGGAGTTTCTCACATATGTGCATCAAAGTGCTCTTGACTCTAACTTTAATGAAGTTACTACTCTTAATAGAGTATGGCCAAAGATAACCAAAAGCCATAACGCTATTAAGCCTAAGTACTCCCAACACCAAGTGAAACTACCTTGCCCTTAGCCTTCACAAATAACCTTCATTGCCGAATCTAATCTCCGGGAGCCACGATAACCATGTGGCCTCAATGTGACTAAACTTTTCTCATCAATCCTGTAAAACAAAGTTAGCCACATACCCTTGCGCTCGTCAATCACAGAAACCCAAAATGGGGACCTCGATGCATTCAATCTCATTGTAGATGTTGTGACATGAGTAGAACCAATGAGTAGCTCATGCATACGGTCGTTCTTTTCATCTCACCAAGTAGCCAAGGTCGAGGTCAACGTGGTCAGGCCATGGAGGAAGGCATGGGTTCGAAGCATCAACAGAAACACACGAGTACACATAATCACTAGCTTCTAGCCGATGATCGACGTAGGACGATGAGCTGATCAAACGGTGAAGGTAGACGGGGTTGCTCACACATGCTAGCATTTAGCAGCCACATTGGAGACAATGTCCTAAGGTGGCAGCAATATGCACATAGTCCAACCTGTAGCCAACGTAACAAGGACTAGAAGCATGGGTGGCGTCAGCCTTGATAGGCAATGACCATGAAGATAGCTTGACCACTAGTAGTGTTATTGCTTCCTAGGAGATTATGCAATGACAACCTCATTCATGGGAGAGTTGACGATTGAACATCAAGGAGTCGATAGATAGGGTAACACAACCTCGATCTTCGAACAAAAAAGAATAACAATATCATCTCCTTGGAGAACCACAACACAACCAAGCATGACACATCCTAGCTGGTGATGGCACCCTCGATGTGTAGCCCCTCATGGCGACAGTCACGGTGCCATGCATCAGGGTGCAAGATGATCACATGTTCAATAGTGCTCATGGTTGACGGGTCTAACAACGCGGATTGGAAGATGCCTTAAGATACCTCCCCATGCTGCTTGATGATGATACATAGGGAGGATCATCTAGATTGGTCCCAACAAAACTACTGGATGCTGCCCTCGATGGAGATTAATCTAGCTGAGACCATATAATCTAGCTAAGACCCTCCTTAGGGGGTGGGGGGAGGGGAGTAGCAGCAGCAGCGGAACTCAGCTATGGAATAAAACCCTAAACTCGTGATACCATGAAAGCATAGTAGATTGATTGGATATATGCGTGGGGTTAGATTGATCGAGCCTCTCAGACACTATATATAAAGTTTAGAGACTAAGAGTTAATTAGAGCTCACTGGATACATTTTTTCGACAATGAAAAAAAGTTTTGGCCTCTACAACTGCACACCCCAAATATGTATATTTTCCTCACCGGATACATATAGCAATATCTAACTACAATCATATAAACTACCAAATCTATTCATTCAGTGACTCATTGCAGAAGCGTATTTCGGTAGGAACTTGTTCTAGTTAAGCTCAGAGCAAAAGCTAGATACCAACCACTGTTTAATTCATGGCTAGAAGCCCTTGTGTAATCGTGTTAATTTTTTGGTTTCCTTTTTTGTTTCTTAATTGTATCCAGTGGAACAACTGTCTTTTAATTTCAATAAAAATCCAGTAGGGGGAACCCCACCTGTTTCATTAAAAAAAAACACCTGCAAAACCCGACCGATCCCATACCTTGCTGTGGGGAAATGTTGATGCTGAACAGGTTAAAAAAACTCGGCTGAGTCTGAGTCTTTCCTTGTGGCTCAAAGTCGCTTTAGAAAAAGCCATCCATCAATTTAAATTGACCAATTGTTGTCCGTGAAAACAATTGAATGGTCAGGTACCCTGACGATCCATACGACAGAGTATGGATACCTATAATTGACGCCACCGACTGGACCGTGATATCCACGACGGAAACGGTGCAGAACGAATACCATGACCTCTTCGAGGCGCCGTCTAAGGTGATGCAGACGGCGATCACACCGCGTGACGCTGCCAACAGCATCAACTTCCACTGGGACTCTAAGCCGCAGTCCAAGGGCCCGTCGCTTGGGTACATACCGGTCTTCCACTTCGCCGATGTGCTGCAGGGCGGCGGCGTTCGCCAGTTCAACATCAACATCAACGACAAGCCGTGGTCTCAATATTACACGCCATGGCACCTCTACAGTGGCTATGTCTATGGTACCAGCCCTTATAGTAGCGACCAGACCCGGTATAACGTCTCCATCGTCAAGACAGCCAACTCAACGCTGCCGCCTATCATCAACGCCGCCGAGGTTTTCACCGTCATCTCCACCACCGACGTTGGCACGGACTCGGAGGACGGTATGTGCCATTCGTGCATGAGTCCATATATATAGACGCACTGACACTTACCATACCGGATGAACTGAAACTCAACTTGAGTACAATACGATCAACAGTCTCTGCTATGATGGCTATCAAGGCGAAGTATCAGGTGAAGAAAAACTGGATGGGAGACCCGTGCGTTGCGGAGACTTTTAGGTGGGATGGTCTGACGTGCAGCTATGCCATTTCCAGTCCTCCAAAAATTACTGGCGTGTAAGTGGTTCTGTCACATGACATCTACGCAGAACACTACTTTGCTTTTACTGCGCATGGGTAATAGTAGCTGTCGATCATGTTTAAACCGCGTCCAATCTTATAATTTTGCAGAAACATGTCGTTCAGTGGTCTGAACGGTGACATATCATCTGCTTTCGCAAATCTCAAGGCCGTCCAATCCTTGTACGTGTGGAGTTCTAGTTCTTGATCTGCTAATTTCAACCTCGTAGTCATAATAATATCTGATACATATCTTTGCAGGGATTTGTCGCACAACAACCTGACGGGCTCAATTCCTAGCGCCCTGTCACAATTACCGTCACTGACAACTCTGTAAGTCTGCTAACTCGACAAATTCTGCACGTTCCAACTTCATTAGTTTCCTGAGATTTTAATTTCTTTTATGAACCAATATATGCATTCATCAGCATCACGTTGGCTCACATAAATGTTACACCTTTCAGAGATTTGACGGGGAATCAGCTCAGCGGATCAATCCCCCCTGGACTTCTCAAAAAAATCCAAGACGGCTCCTTAAATCTAATGTCCATTCACGGATCCTCTTTAATTTTGTTCTAGCAGACATGCATGATACCGCCTTAATTTCCTGGCTGACAGTATCTTGACTTTCTCTCATCTGTGTGTAGTTATGCCGATAATCCAAACCTTTGCACCAACGGGGATTCATGTCAGACGGAGAAAGGAAAGAGCAAGGTAGCCATCTACGTCGCTGTTCCTATGGCTCTGGTTGTGGTGGCACTGACAGTACTGCTATGTTGTTTGCTGCTGCGGCGAAATAAGCGAGGTAAGTTTATAAAACATCGACTGACCGCGCTCTAGCTAGCCATGTCCTCTTTGCCATCGGCCATCCTGAACGAGCAAGGACCACGGATCTGCCGGTGCATTCAGGGTCAGTGGACGTCTCTGTGAAGCCCCGGGACAAGACTTCGACGAGCCTTGCTCTAATTGTTGCAGGCGACGAACACAGACGCAGCTCGCTGCGGCTTGAGAACCGCCGGTTCACATACGAGGACCTAGAGATGATCACCAACAACTTCCAGCGTGTAATTGGCCGGGGCGGCTTTGGATACGTCTACGAGGGCTTCTTGGAGGATGGCACTCAGGTGGCGGTCAAGATAAGGTCTCAGTCGTCCAATCAGGGTGCCAAGGAGTTCCTCACGGAGGTAGCCGGCCATCTCTCAGACGCATGCATGCAATTCGTATTTCCAGAGACATGTTCAATTTATCCGGGAATTTCTGGCTCCTTGGAAATTGACTAGTCGTCATCATCTCTGGCCACCTCTCCAGGCACAGATCTTGACACGGATCCATCACAAGAATCTCGTGTCCATGATCGGTTACTGCAAAGATGGGGTGTACATGGCGCTCGTGTACGAGTACATGTCAGAAGGATCCCTGCAAGAGCACATTGCAGGTACGTAGCATATTGCTTAGCAGTTTAGAACTTCCTTCGGTTTGCACAGTGAGAGGATCAACTTCTCTCCTTCCTTCCTAGTCTGGGACCTGGAACGTTATGACCAATGACCTCGAGGGAAGGCTCCCTTTCCCCCCAGCACCTTTGTTGATCTGAATTTCGCATGCTATCATTCTTCTGTCTGTAGGAAAACACTTAACTTGGGGGCAGAGACTTCGAATAGCACTGGAATCAGCGCAGGGTACACAATTCTATATATTTCATATACAATAAGTCATATTTGTTGTTAAAGGTTTGATTTGTGCTAGAAGTGTGAGTGATGACATGTAATGTAGGGCTAGAGTATCTGCACAAGGGCTGCAACCCGCCTCTCATTCACAGGGACGTGAAGACAACCAACATCCTACTGAATGCGAAACTGGAGGCCAAGGTTGCTGATTTTGGCTTATCAAAGGCTTTGGATCGTGACATCTACACTCATGCGTCCACAAACACACTTGTTGGCACACCAGGATACGTCGATCCAGAGTACGTCCATGCCTCCATGATCATGAAATTATGCTTCTTTTATCCATCAGTAACTCCGAAGTTTGGGGGTGGAAATGGAACAGACACCGATAGAAAATATATTTTTGCCAGATACAAATACAAATTTGAATATTATTGAATACAAATAGAAAACGGGTAGTTTAAATTCGAACCCGTATTCAAATATCTACATAATTTAGTTGATATCGACTATCTATTTGTTTTATCGATAGTTTTGGGAAAAAATATTATTGTGCAAGTAGAGATTAAAGTGAATAACATACCATCAGATTTATCTAAAAAAATGCGATAAGATTCAAATCTATAAATTAAAGTGTAAAAAAGAAATGCATCCAAAAAATAAAACAATTTACAACAACATATATACAAGGAATATTGAGTTTAATATCATTAGTCATAGAGATGACCTATAGTGGATAACCATTAATAATATTGAAGCTAATATTATCGGTCATAAAGATACTTTTAAAATATTTCATTCACTAAGTTCTTATTCATCACGGATACGGATAACTGTTGGATATTCTATGTTTTTTTTTTCAAATACAGATGTACACTTGGATAGAGAAAAATAATAAAAACAGATTTAGATACATCCATATCCATTATAGTATCCATATACCATAATCAAAAGGGGTAGGCCAGCAATAGGGTTTGCTTTTATGAACGACGAGACTAGTATAGTACAATTGACACCACATGGATGGACGTGCTAACGTGCAGGTACCAGGCAACAATGCAGCCAACCACTAAGAGCGATGTGTACAGTTTCGGCGTGGTGCTGCTAGAACTGGTCACAGGGAGGCTTCCTATCTTGCACAGCCCTCAGCCCACCAGCGTCATCCAGTGGACACGGCAGCACCTGGCACGCGGCGACATCGAGGGCGTGGTGGACGCGTCCATGGGAGGCGACCATGATGTCAACAGCGTGTGGAAAGCCACGGAGATCGCGCTCCAGTGCACCGAGCAAGCGTCGGCGCAGCGCCCCACCATGACCGACGTGGTGGCGCAGCTCCTGGAGTGCCTCGATCTCGAGAAGGGGCGCACCGGGGGCGACGCCAACATAAGCTTCTTCTCCAACGGAGACAGCGGCGACACGACCTTGGGTTACAATGCGCACGTTGCTAACCAATCCACTGACATGAGCCAGAGCAGTGCATTGGCTACAGGTCCTGCCACGAGGTAAAGACTAGTTGCCTGTTTCACCAAGGCACATGGAAATGTTCAGCCATTTTTTATGAAGAACTTTTCAGTCCAATGTAGTATGAAATAAGAAAATCCCTGCAACCACACACACACACACACATATATATATATATATATATATATATATATATATAGTATGAAATAAGAAAATCCCTGCAACCACACACACATATATATATATATATATATATATATATATATATATATATATATATATATATATATATATATATATATATATATATATATATATATATATATATATATATATATATATATATTGGGGCACCGTATTGACTGAGAACTCGGACGGATTCGAAATTCAAATTCCGAGATCTCGAGTTACTATTCACAGCACTATTCAAATTCAAATTCACTATTCAAATTCACGGTTACTATTCAAATTCGGAATATGAACAGTGCACGAGGGCAGCCCAACCACTTTACTATTCAAGGCTGGAGGCCTCTGCAAGTGTCGCTTTCACGCGTGAATATTTTATAGACGCTGGATGAGTGAGTGAGTGATTAGCGAATATAAATATTGATATGTCACTTTCGCGATTAGTTAAGCTAGTGCTTAGTGAATATGCTTATGCGGATGATTATTTCTAAGGATCTTTTGCAGGCTGGCGAGACCAACAGTTCAGCCGGTCGTGCGTACTATGCTTGTGACAGTCCTACTCGGTACTCACCGTATGCATCACTGGCTCGCTTCAGAACCAGGCTAACTCGGTCTACTCCCTTGCTATCCCCAGCCACGAACACACAGGACTCAGGCCCTATCGTCTCCCCAGGTAGTTCCACCCAAGGGGAACACTTCTCTGCGCACACAGGGTTCTCTACAAACGCCACTACCAGGGCTAACACGAGAACAACACACGCAGAGGTTTCTCCTCTAGGGTCCCTAGCATAGAGACGTCGCCCCATATGAACGAGCTTAAAGGAAGGTAGGGATTAAAACAGGAAAGCTTAATTCATTTCCACAAAGCAAGCTTACATACGGCTTTCCCTTTCGGGAAACCCCAAGCACTTAGCACAAACCTGAGGGATTACTTTACAATCGCAGGAAGATCACGGGGACCTCCTTATTCTCTAATTTACAAAGGTGGAGTGATACAACGGTAGGTGGAGTGATTACTACTAATGGTGGATGATCCTCAGAGTGCTTCTGAGATCATGTGTTCATGGTGTATGTGTGTAGATGGAGAGTTAGTGGAGTGGGTGGTGGATGATAGTGGGTGTCTCGGTGTATATATATATATATACACACACACACCAAGCTGGTACATGTATAGCCATTACATATGAAATGGACCAAAAAGAAAAGAAACGAGGAAGACCAATTGATATGCACGAAGCGCATATGCCAAAGCATGCGGAAATGTTCAGACGGTTGGAGTGTCTTCAATTTACAATTTTTCATTGTAAGACCATGTAATCGATGTATTTGTCTTGGATTTGCTTTTCACGGTGAGACACTTCCCCTTTTGTTCTTTAGTGATAAGTATCCTGTTGTTCGCTGGATCTAGATCTCTTTGTTGGAATTAGCTGATCCAAATGGTTTTTGGCAAAATCCATGAAACCAGGGGAGGAGCTTTCAAATGTCAAGGTACGGTGCTCACCGTACCGTTTCTAGCAACTCCCTTTTTGCTATCATGAAAGCTTCCCTACATAAAGGGCCTGTTTGGCAGAGTTCTAACTTTGAAAACAATTCTAGAGCATCAGCTCCACCATGGAGTAGTTGTACGGTGGAGTTGGGATTCCATTAATATGTTTGGTAGAGCTCAAGCTCCAACGTTTCTCACCCTGTCTCACTGCCACCCTGGGCCCGTGCGTCGGTCTCTTCATTCCCTTCCACCAGTTTGGAGCATAGCGGGAGGGGCTAGGCCAGACGCGCCCACGCCAATGACGGTGAGGCAGACGCTAGGCAGTATCAGGGGACGTCAGGGCAGGGAGGGAGGGCAGCAGCCTCATGGCGGTGGAGCTGGGCTCGCACAGCGGCATGTCATTCGCGCGCCAGGGCTCTCGAGCACTCGTGGATCTGACAGGATGTGAGGTGACAGGTCCTGGTGTAAGAAAAATGGCACCTTGCATGGGCCATGGATGATTTTTGTGGTTGATTGACAACATGATCAAATGGACTAATGTCGGCTGCTAGTATATAAGGTTTAGTTCATTTGGATGCAAGGATGGATTGGACCTAGACGACATGAAGATCAAGTGATAAACACCTCAAGGAAGACTATGGAGCAGTTCAATAAATCATACAAAACATGCAAGAAGTCCAAGACATCAAGTAGAAGAAGCCCGAACACGAAGCCACGAAGAAATTGCACTGAAGGGGGTTCACAGAGTGCACCGAGTAACTCCGATGCTGCTGTGCAGGCATCGAAGAAAGAGGTGTAGTACATAAGATTCAGCGAGAGTCACCGGATAACTCTGGTGCATGGAAGGTATCAACATCGGAGCTTAGGGCATAAGGCTGCAGAAGGGTTTTACGGCCACCGGAAAACTCTGGTGGTACCAGGGGCAAAGTACCAGAGGAAGCGTGCATCCCCGACAGTTCTCCAGAAGTTTCTATGCTCACCGGAAAGATCCAGTGGCACCGAAGAGGCTTCACCGGATAAAGGGTGATCCGAAAGTTGGTAGAAGATCCAACGGCAGCTAACTCTTGCCACACGGTACTTCTCGCTACCTCTATCAAGTGTTCGGTTGAGCGGTGGCTCCTATTGTCGGTGATGAACATGACTGGGAAAACCTTGTAAAGACCACAGTGTAATTTCTATTTTCGTGAATGATGTCTTCGTGAGGAATCCAATGTAACTGATTTATATGTATCGATGTAATAATAATGGATGAAAGACCACAGTGTAATGGAATCCAATGTAACTGATTTTTTTTCTTTGCTTTGCTATGTACTTTGTACTCTGCTCTCTACTCTCTGCTCGTTGTACTCCTGCTAAACCCTATTTGATTTTTTTTCCGTTTAATATATTTTCAGTAGGGGCTCCTTGCCCCTCCTGTTCCCTCAAAAAAAAAAAAAGGATGAAAGCCCGATTCCTAAAAAAAAGGGAGGCCTTCCGCTTTGCCGTTGATAAGGAAACCATATGCATCACATGGGACTGCGAGCATGCATTGATCAGAAACCGACAGAGAGCAGCTAACAAGTAACTATCATCAACTGTTTCAGAACAAATAAATGTCTGCATTGCATCAAACTGAAAACGGTTGCATCAAAGAATTATTAGCATGTTTCAGAAAAGAGAACAATTCCAACCCTTGTATAACAAACACACAAGAATGGCAGCATATATAAGTTCCACCTAGTTGTGAACCAAAATTGTCTTTGTTTCAGATTTACAGGAAAAACAAGATGTAATTTTGAGGGACCTTGTTTGTCAGACCCCTAGCTCTAGCCTTTTTTTAGCACTACTCCATATCAGTTCTAGGGTGGAGCCAGAGTTGTCAATGGAACTATGGAAGTGTTTCTGTTACCAGGTTCGCTCCAGCTCCTTGAATCAATACTACAAATAAATTGTTAATGATATGAAGGCATCATCGCTTGAATATCATCATTTACATGTAGTGTTCCTTTTGTTATTAATTCTTTTTCTTCGAGATTGTTGCAGTTTTGTAACTATTTTCAATAGGGAATATCATTACATTTTCAGGTATAATTGCATGAAAAAGATCAAGCATGACAATCTGAAAAGCAATAGGAATTCAAACAGTTTATTATTATTGTACATTTGCTTCTGCAGGAACTAAGAAAGACTGAACTGAACAAATTATAGAGATCATTGTCAAACATGGCACACACTAGAACGCGCTTTTAAGCATATATACATAGAGGGAAAATAGGAAATTGACTGAAAATATACAATGGATGCATACTGCCATGCTGGGCACAGATATTTGTTTCAGGATAGGAACAAAAGTTGGGGAAGTTACTCTAATCATCTATGTCATTCAGCGAGTAGATTTCTTAGGTTTTTTTATAATTTATCTAATAATACTTATTACCGATACTTTTTATATATTTAATTAAATTTAAGATTTATTGACATCTCGTAGAGTAACATTGTTTTGGATGGAGGGAGTACAGTGCATGACTGACCACCACATCAGGAATTCATGACTGAGATTGCCGTTGTGTGTGTGTGTGTTTTCCAGACAAGTTTCAGACCTTTTGACACTTTTCTCTATTGTTTTTATTATCTTTCACTCCTTATTTATTATATCTATTTTTTATTTTCATTCTTTTCTATTGCAAAGGTATTCATCAGAAAGACAGAAACTACAACCCCTACATGCATCGGCAAGTTGTGCAAATACTTTCCTCTATTGCAAAGGTATTCATCAGAAAGACAGAAACTACAACAACCACTACGGGAGACGCGCTCTTTGCCGAGTGATCGGCGCTTTGCCGAGTGTCGAAACACGGGCACTCGGCAAAGAGGCAGTTTGCCGAGTGCCGCACTCGGCAAAGCCGGCACTCGGCAAAGGCCGTGTTTGCCAAGTGCCAAACACTCGGCAAAGAGGAACACTCGGCAAACGTCCTCTTTGCCGAGTGTCAGGGACTCGGCAAAGAGGAACCCTCGGCAAAATACCTCAGGCGACGCCGGTGGCCTCTCCGTCATCCTTTGCCAAGTGCTGGCCGTTAGCACTCGGCAAACGTGCTCTCTTTGCCGAGTGTCTGGCCTGGCACTCGGCAAAGAGGTTCCTTTGCCGAGTGCCAATTTCGACACTCGGCAAAATATATATATTTTTTTATTTTTGTTTTCAAATTTTTTCTGTGGCATTTATACAGTACCTTGAAGCACATGTTCTAATTTAGAACTTTTCAACGATTTTTTGGTATATTTTTTAAATTTTTTATGTTTACTTGAATTTTTCTCGAAAAAGTAAATTTGAACTGCAGGTGCATGAAATATTGGAATTTAGCGATTCAAAAAATGGTATTCATGTTTTTGAGTGTAT